GCGCGTCAGGTGGGCCTCGGCCGCCGGCTGCAGCCCGCTTCCCGCCCGGACGCCCCCAGCGGGCGCCTCGGTGCACACGCGCCCGAGGAGATGTCAGCGCTCGGACAGTTACAGAAAACCGGCCTCCTCGCCCCGCCCTGCCCGCGCGCTGCTGGGTTCCTGCGCTGTGTTGGGCCGGAGCGGGTGAAGCCAGGGGCTGTGCCCCCCGCTGGCCTGAGCTGTCAGGGGTGGGGGGACCCCCAAAAGTAGCCGGAGGGAGACGCGGAGGGAGAAGCGGGCGCAGGGCCAGCCCCTCCGGGTGGCTTAGCAGGGCCCTGTGTCAGAAAGGGGGTCGGGGCCAAGGCCCCGGTGCAGCCCCCAGCACCGCCGAGACGGAGCTGGGAGCAGGATCTTGCGTTCTTTCCAAGTATTTTGCCGCACATCCCTGCGGGAGAAAGAGACCTGTGCGAAGGGACCGCGAGGCCAGCGCCTCGCGGAGAGCCGGCCGTTCAGAGAGCAGTGCTTGCGCGGTCAGTGCCGGGGCGAGTGCGCCGCACAGCCCAGAGGGCCGAACGTGGCTGTGGAAGGCGGCGGGACAGCGGGGCTCCCGCGGGCCGTGCTGGGCGGCGCTCGGCGGCTGTGGCCCTCTTAGCTGCAGGGCTGTGGAGGAGTCTGCCCTCTCTGGAGAAGTGGGCGTCAGAGGCAACGCTCACTGCGTGCACAGCTTTCAGCGGGTTCAGAGCGCGTGACAGGAGGCAGGAAGGTGAGGTGTGCGGCGCTGCCTGTGCCATCGTTAAAAGTGTCGATAGACTGGCAGATCAATGAAATAAGTAACTGACGTGCCAGCGTTGTGGAGGACTGTGGTCCGTGAATCCTCCGAATGCTTGGAGAACCCGTGGCTTCGAGTTCCTGGGCTGCAATCCTGTTGGCTCTGTGACTGAGCCGGGGACGGAGCTCTTTTCTGGTCCACCTAGACCACCATCCATCTTTTATGCTTCAGAGACCCCACCTGCTTGCGCAGTCTCGAAGCACAGCGCTGTCCTCCGTCCCCAAGGCGCGCGTTCTAGGACACCCACACCACCACCGACCCCCGAATCTGCAGGTTATCAAGTCCTTGTGTAACGTGGCTCAGAGCTTGTGCATCACCCACCGTACATCTTCCTGTACACCTTGTCTCTAGGTTATTTATACCGAGCACAGTGTAATGCTCTGTGAATAGTTGTCATGCTGTATTTTTAAGGGAAAATGACCAGAAAATCTGTAAATGTTCAGTATCGATGCATTTAAAAATACTCTTGACTTGTGGTTGGCTGAATCATCAGGAACCCATGGATATGTAGGGCTGACTGGATTAGTAATTCCCCAACACTTCAAAGTTCTAGCCCTTTCCAAAAGATAGGGGGGCTGGGCGTGATGGCGCACACCTGTAACCCCAGCACTCGGGAGGCTGAGGCAGGAGGATTGTTGGGAGTTCAGGACCAGCCTGTGCTACAAAGTGAGCTCAAGGCCAGCCTGAACTGCATACAGAGACGCTGTCTCAAACACACATGCATGCACACACACACACACACACACACACACACACAAACAAACACACACAGCTGGTGGGGCAGTGCTGTCCTTTCCTCTCCATGTCCCGACTGAGAGAGCGCGGGCGGCAGTCCCTTTTATGAGCCTGGGGGTAAGGAAGTGTGGGGGAAAGAACTGACCTAGCTTTTTGACAGAAGGTGTAGGTTTCTTCTCATTCCCCATGTGTGCAAATCACATAAAACCAGGTATTTTCCACATAGATGATAAGTGGCTCAAATAGATTCCTAGGGGTAGGTACCAAAAAATTCCTTATTACCAGACCAAGAAAACAGAATCAACTCTTCTTAAGGCAGCATGTAATCTCTCATATAGAGTCATCCCCTGCCAGGATAGTTTGGCTGTACATAGACTTCGTGTTTGCGTAGGTATATATGAAAACAATGCTTTAAGGTGTGTGCATTTACTTATCGACTGTCTAAAATACCGCGTGCGTGGGTGGGTGGGTGCTTGTGTGTGTGTGTGTGTGTGTGTGTGTGTATGTGTGTATCTCAATCCGTATTCCTCCAAATAGATCAAATGTTATCAGGGATTACAAGAAAAAGAAAGTACCTGTTCAGATCTGGAACCCCTCGGGTACAGACGTGGACTGTTTCCTTGGACTGTTCAGAGTCCTTTGTGGGTTACTGATTGTGGCACACACAGATAGATCTAGGTGGGACTGTCTGTACAAAACAATATGGAATGCCGGGCGTGGTGGTGCACGCCTGTAATCCCAACAGTCTGGAGGCTGAGGCAGGAGGATCGTTATGAGTTCGAGACTCAGCCTGGGCTACAAAGTGAGCTCAAGGCCATCCTGAACTGTGTAGCGAGACCCTATCTCCAAAAGACAAAAAAAAAAAAAGAAAAAAGAAAAAGAAAACAAATATGGAATGATTTTTGTGTGCAAAAAGTAAAGATAACACTCTCAAGGGACTGGCACTACAGGAACCAACTTTGGGAAACACTGCCTTCAGATGCATCTGGAGGTGGGGGGTCAAGACATCTGAATAGATATGTAGATCATAAATGTTTCTCACGCATGCTTGTCACCCACAGTTAGAATTCAGGTTTCAGTGTCTGGTTTTAACACATCATAACTATTCGACCCCAACCTACGTTTCCAACCTGAATCTCTCATATTTCTTCTTTAAACTCTCTTGCTTAGTACTTTGCATGTAAACCATGCATGGAATTTATTTTCAGCGCACTAAAAAGTCTGTTTACCTGACTGGGCAGGCTTTGTGGTGGTAAAATGAGCTGCATCTTCTGCCGTGGCCCCGTGGTGGCTGGGACGGCCGCTGTCTTCCCAGAGGTGCTTTGCGCTCCCTGGACTTGCTCCTGCATCTCAGCAAAGCTGTGGTTCAGTGCTGTGTCTGCTTTTGTGTTTGCTCTCTTGCTTGGGCCTTAAGGCTGCCCTGTCAATTCTCTTTCATGTGTGTCATGAGTATTGCTGGGCCCCTGGCGACAGCTGGGTGGGGTGACAGGAGGGGCACGGCCCGGACATGAGGAGAGAGGAGCAAAGTTTGGGCAGCAAAGGCCCCGCACCGGAGTGAAAGAGGAGCCAGAGAGCGGGGCGCTGGACGCAGGGCGTGGGCATTGCATTCTGGCTGGGCAGCGCCCCTTCTGGTCCAGCTCATGTGTGCACGCAGCACCCGTGGGCCACAGCAAAGCGGAGGTCACGGTCACAAGTTAGCATGGAGACAGGTGCCAGAGAAGGAGACAAGTCGGTGTCAAATGCCACGCGAGTAGGCAGCAGCCAGAGGGCACACGAAAGACCAGAAGCGGGAGGCACAGTGCAGGTCAGGAGGTTCCACAGGTGGGGTGACGGAGCCGGCGGCGAGGCAAGGACGGGAGTTAAACGCAGAAAGGGCAGGGTGAGGAGGGAGGCGGGGTTAGCAGAGACTCCTGGGGAAACGCCCAGATGGGACAGACCAGCAGGAGAGGAGCCGCTGGGGCACAGTGGAGCTCTGCCCCGGCCGGAAGCCCAGACCACCCCCCGCCCAGGCGAAATCCGTCACAGAGCGGCCAGCGAGCCACAGCACCGACCCGTGCCTCCAGGGTGTGCCTCTTCCTTGTGCCTCCGACAAAGAAGACGGGGAGGACACCCCCAAAGAACGTCCTTCACCCCCAAAGAGCCTCGGCCGCCTTAGTCTCAGAGTGACTGTCTCTTGGAGAGCACCGCGCCGCATACAAACAGCATCCCCCTCGGTAGGATCCGTTGGGTTCTTGCTGTGCCGGGAAGGAACGGCCCCAAGAATGAGGAAAAATAGACAAGAGACAGAGCTGGGATCAGGCGGAGGGCCTGTCTCTCGGCGGAGAAGGAGACCTGCCCAAGAAGAGCAGAGCGTTTGTTTATACCAAGAGGTTGGTTTAATTTTTGCCTCCCTGCCCAGCAATCAGTTAACAAGGTACAACGGCTTGTTTACGTGTTTCGAGGAGCTCCCGTTTTCTCAGAGCTCCCGTGTTCTCAGGCGGTCTTCATCTTGCACGTGTAATTACTTCCCAGCTTCCGAAGCTCCCAAACACCCTTCCGCCCCCACCCTGCCTTCTGAGGTAAGCACGTCCTAGGCCTGGCTCTGTCCCTATCACCAAGGACCACCGCGTCAGGAGTCCCGCAGGGCTGCACCCCCTGGTGGTGGTGTAGTTGTCGGCATTTGTGTCAGGATTCTGATGTTGCCTAAGGGTGCGTTTCTCAGGACGTGGCCTTAGAAAAGCAGCGTGCCCACCCAGTCTTCGGCCTGCTGTACAGACGAGGGCACAGTGGCTGGGAGGAGGTCACTTCTCTGCAGGTATCTCCCGGAATGTGACCGGAACCATTTGGTTGCTTAAAACAAAGAAAAACACTCGCCAGGCCCATCTTCACGCAGCTAGAGTCCAAAATGCAGGCCACCGTTTTGCTTTGGGGTTTGAGACAGGGTCACACTCTATCATTCAGGCTGACCATTAGCTCACTTTGTAGGACCTCAAACTCGCAGCAATCCTCCTGCCTCAGCCTCCCGAGTTCTAGGATGACAGGCGTGCACCGCCACACCCGGTCCATTGTTGTTAATCTTGTATTTATTTGCCCAGCATGAGAAATGAATGAAGTATATAGGATCCATCTGTGTTTTGTGGGTGGTTCCATCGATAGCTGCTTTTGTTCTAGTTTGCTAGTTTTAGAAAATGTGGGTTTGGCTCTTACGCAATTGTATTCATTGTTTTAAAATGTGGAATATTGATGCTATATGAAAAGAATAAGTGGACTGCTTGTGGGTCCACTTGCCTGTAATGAATCACCACCAGCCGGCTGAAGTCCTGAGTCCTGAGTCCCCTCCCCTGACCCGTCGTTTGTCCCTGCGGGAACCAGCCTTTCCTGGTTTCCCAGACGGAACACGCTGCTGGGCAGTTTCTGCATGCTCTGCCCATGAGAAAGCCTTCCACTAGGTTTTTAAGAGTGTTTCTGTTTTGTGGGACATAGTCTTTGATTGGGCTCGGGATCAGTGGATAGGGCCGCTGGCTTGGGCCCTGGTCCTGTCTCCGTGTGTACGCAGGGCTGAAGGCTGGGCACTTCGTGTTGTATCTGATTTTTCTCTTCCATAGCAGTTATACAAACAAAGTAGCAGAAAGAGAAGCCAAGAAAGCCACTCTGTTTATTTTCTTTTCCAGGGCTTGTATTTCTGGATAACAGAAATACAATTTTGAGATAGGATCTCACTAAGTTGCCCGGGCAATCTTGTGACCCTCCTACCTCAGCCTCCCTCGGTGCTAGGATCACAAGTGTGCGCTCCACCCCCAGTTTAGCTCAGGTCTGCAGTTGTAGTTTCCATTTTCTTTTTTTTTTTTTTTTCCCGGTACCGGGAATCAAACTCATGACCTCACGCTTGCCAGGCACGCGCTGTGTTGCTGAGCGAAATCCCCAGCCCTCCATTTTCTTAACTGGTGTACCTTCTTGTCCACCTGGGCTCCCGGGAGCCTTGTCTGACGGGTGCCTGGTTCCGGCTGAACCCTAGGAACTTGTTGCATGTCGAGCGCTTGCCGCGGGTCAGACTCCCTGCACACTTCCCCTGCAGTGTCGGGAAGAGGAGGGCAGACGGAGGTGGCCCCTGTCTGGGAGCCGGAAGACCTGGCAGTTGGCCCTTAGTTGGCTGGAAAGGGCCACATTTTTCTCTTCAATACAGCTCGGGTTTTAGGAAATAACCAGCTCCTCCCTGGTTCTTCACGTCAAAGCTGTGCTCCATGAGGACACACCTGTGTTTGTCTGTTTTCCTCCCCGCCTTGAGACCCACCTGTGTGTTAGCAGGACATGGGCGCTTTTGTCCTGTAGGCACTGTTACATCAGATAAGGCATTTCTGTAACTAGCTGCGATTATCATAATGGGCTGCTGTCTCTCTCCTGGCTGAGCTCCAGGCTCAGGCAGAGCACAGGCTATATCCCTGGTTTTGCTGGCCACTGTTATCTCAGCAGCGTCTGGAAAGGGAGGCTGTCCACAGGATTTGTTGAGTTGACTATGCGGATCTGAGGGCAAGAAGCCTGGAGACATGAGGAATTACAGCAGGGCCAGGCTTTGGCGTTGCTAGAGGAGGAAGCGCGTCTGTGAGGTACGGGGAAGGTAGCAGAGGGCACGTGTAGACATCAAGTTGGTGACAGAGCTGCGCTAGGTCAGGGAGAAGAACAGCTCCTGTGGGCTTCAGGGCTCTTAAAAGCCCCACAGTGGGCATGGAGGCGGCGGGAGCAGTAGGGACAGTGGGGGAGGTAGAGGGCTGGACTGTGGGTCGTGTCACCTCTCGGAGCTCAGTTCCTCCAGCTGACCCAGGCTGCTCCTCGGTCCCCACCCTGGCGGAGGCCACAGGTGAATCGTGTCATCCTCACTGAGCCTGGGACAGTGTGGCCCTGCTGTGTGGCAGGGGTGCCTCAGCAAAGGCCCCAGCGATCTGCTCCCCCAACTCTGCTCCAGGACTTAACCCCCCAGGGGCTTCCTGGAGGACAAGGTTCAAAGTCACCCAGTGGCCTCTGCCATCTGGTCAGTCTGCCCCTCTATATGTCTGCCTCCTCCTGCATCAGCCTCTGGGCCATTTCTCCCCGGGCTGAACCCCCTGTCCTGCGGTGACCCCCTGTGGCTGTCTCCCTGCCCTCCCTCCCCGAGGGGAGGGAGGGCTCACCTCTTGCTTGTTTTCCCATTTGGCAAGAGTGTGGGTCTGCAGCACATATTTATTGCCTTGGAGGACCTGATTGCTGGATGAATGAAGTTTATCCTTCTAGGAAATATCTGAAATTCACTGCGAGGCACTGAGCACAGTTTTCATTTGAGCTGACAGTTTAGAAGTAAAGTGGCCCAAAAAGAGTGTGGGCGGGCCGACAGGAGAGTGGCCAAGGGGTCTAAAGACACGATAGGAGGGAGGGCGGGAGAAACCCAGGAGACTGAGGGGAGACGGGCAGCAGGAGAGCGGCGACTGGCAGGGACGTCAGTGTCGCCTGTCTGATGGCGGCGGGGTCCTGACGCCTTCCGGATGCCCTCCTCAATGAGTCCACTCTGTATTCCCCGCGTCACCCCCGGCCTGGAAGGCCTCACAATCACAGCCTTGTCCTGCACGGACTCCGTGGGCAGCTGACACGGGCAGGCCAGGCACACACGTCCCAGCCCTGTGGCCCACGGGGGACACGCACCCTTACCCTCAGGGTCGTGCTGCCTCTGTAGGGTGGGAGTGAGCGTCCCGTGCAGGCCGCGCTCTCTCTCGGCCGCTGTGAAGATCAGAGAAGTAGGGTAATAAACTGACGTCGCGGCCGCGTGCAAAGCTGTCAGGCTGCCCTGAACGCGACGGCACGGGGCCCGTCTCCTGTTACTACGCGCAGTTTTCAGAAGGAGGATGACGGTTTCCCTCCTCACAGGGGCACTCTGAAGCTCAGGAAGCCGGCCCTCAGTGGGGGGACACAGTCCCCGAGAAAGGCACGAGGCAGCCATGGCCCTCCCCTTCCAGAAAGAGCTGGAGAAATACAAGAACATCGACGAGGACGAGCTCCTTGGCAAGCTCTCTGCGGAGGAGCTGAAGCAGTTGGAAAATGTTCTCGATGACCTAGATCCTGAGGTTGGTGTGCGGAGCGCGCGCAGGCGGCCGGCGGTGGTGCGGGACAGACGGGTGGCCTGTGGTCATCTCACCAGGGCCGGCTCACCATGGACTCCCTGCTAGACGCAGGCCAGGGGTTCCCGGCGGCTTGGGTCGCTCCCTTTCACAAGCTCACGGAGAACCTCACAGGCGCTGCAGCTGCACGGCCAGTGTGTTTCTCAAAAACCAATTTGATGACAGTGAGCAAAAATATCTCCTCCTGGATGAGGCGGGAGGAGCCAGGTGGGAGGAAAGAAGGAAAGAGATGCGAGGTCTTACTGAGGTCTTCCATGTGTCCCACACTGCTGGCCACAGGAGCCCTTGAGGGAAATCAGATTATTTCTCCGGTTTAGGTGAGGAGACAGCCTTGGAGAGGAATCCACATAAAATCCCAGGCCTCCAAGCATCCAGGGTGGCATTTTAAGAGGCCTGGAGCCCCAAATGCAGATCTTTAAAAAGTATTTCTTACAAATGCATAAGTAACTTGAAGTCTTTGACGGCCCTGCAGTGGCTGGATGACCGGGACTGTAAATGTGATAGCCAGGAACGGTAAGCAGGGCTGGCTGTATTGTTACGAGTCCTTGCAAAGCTAAGAGGTGTGTTCTGATGTTTGTTTAACAAGCGCTTTTCTCATTTCTGATGATGTTGTCTTCAACTCAGAAGCATCTAGAATGGTGCTTCCACGGTAAAGGTGTAACTGAAACGAAATTTTTTATGTGGCATTTTGGGATGCCAGGTACTTTGGGTATTATGTTTACTTTAAAAAATACAAATACTCTGTTTTCTCTTTTTTAATTTTTGCTTTCTCTTTTTAAACCATGGATGGACTCTTAAAGCTTAATGGAGCAGAGGTCCACGTCTCCTGCAGGACTCACCTGCCTATTTGTGCAGGAGGCGGTTAGAGTAGGGGCTCATTGCTGGGGTCCCCTGTGTCTGCCAGGAGCACTTGGGGCCCACACCCCACCAAACCTAAGTGTGATTACAAAGAGAGGGGCCTTTGGCCACCACGTTGCAGCTCTGCAAGCTGAGGAGCTTGCTGGGAGCCTCCTTCCAGCACGGGATAAAGGACAAGCAGGGTGACAGCTGCCCCCGGCCCACACAGAGGTCCCTCTGCCTGTTCCCCGCTTTAGCCAGACCACGGACAGGGGACACCCTCCTTGCTCACACCTCTGTCCCCGCAGAGCGCCACGCTGCCCGCTGGGCTCCGGCAGAAAGACCAGACGCAGAAGGCGGCCACCGGCCCGTTCGACCGCGAGCACCTCCTCATGTACCTGGAGAAGGAGGCTCTGGAGCAGAAGGATAGGGAGGACTTCGTGCCCTTCACTGGAGAGAAGAAAGGTGAGGACCCCAAGCGGCACCCTGCGGACAGAGGTCCCCTTACTGGGTTGCCATGGAGATACCAGTGAGGGAAATAGGTTTCTAAGATTCAGGGGCTGAGGGTGCATGTCTTCGAGCTGTAGTGGTGAAGCTGGGATAACCACGCTGCAGCTGCCGTTTGTTATCACTGAAGGCCCAGAAAGGTTCGCCATCACTGGCCACGGCCTGTCCAGCAGCAAGCATGGCCCGAGGTAAACGCGGCCCGGCCGATGACCTGCGGGGCTGGGTTCCTCTGTGGGTGGCGAGGGCGTGCGATTTGAGGGAGGACAGGTGAGAGACGAGAATTCTCGGTACTCTGTGCTTCATTCGGCTGGGAACCTAAAGCTGCTGTAAAAGCAAAGCTGCTCATTCCAAAGAGAAGCGTGGCAGAATGTGTGGTCCCAGAGTGAGTCCTCGGGCGTGGCGGTCCTGGAGTTAGCTCCCATCTCAGACTCCCAAGAGGAGGGTTTGAACGCTCGAGGCAGGGTCTCCCACCCCGAGCGAGCTTCCTGGACCTGTGCTTTGGCCCACCCCGAGGCCCAGGGTGCCCTGGCAGAGCCCTGGCACCACGCCAGCCTCAGGCACCGCGATGGGGGGCAGTGCACTCGGGCAGTCACTCATGCAGCGTCTGCCGCACCCAGTCCGAGCAGAGCCAAGTGCCAGGGCTGTGACCAGGGCTGGGAGACCTGGCTGCCTTCGGACTCTTGAGGCCCAGGGCAAGGAGCGCGTGATAGGGCTTGGAAGGTGGGGAGGGCCAAGGATGCTCCTCTCTACCAGGCTGAGCTCCGAGCCGGGACAGAGAAACCATCCTCTCTAACGTCCAACTCCCAGTTTCCCTTTGGAAGGAGAGTGGATATCAGTCACTATCCACACTGGACATGCTGGCACTCACCTATTATCCCAGCTACTCAGGAGGCTGAGGCAGGAGGATGGCAAGTTCAAGCCCAAAATAGAAAAGGGCTGGGGTTGTAGCTCAGGGAGAAAGCCCTGGGTTCAAACCCAGTACTGCAAAAAAAAAAAAAAAAGTCAGCCTGTTAAACTTCCAGTGCTAGCTGGGCTTAGTGGCACAAACCTGTAATCCCAGCACTTGGGAGGCTGAGGCAGGAAGATTGCTATAAGTTCGAGGCCAGCCTGGGCTATATAAGTGAGTTCAAAGTCAGCCTGAACTATGTGAGACCCTGTCTCAAAAAGACAAAAAACAATCAACAACAACAACAAAACAAAACTTCCAGTGCTACAGACAGTGACCTGGGCCCACAGATGCTAACAGGGTCTGTAATGACCCTGCGCACGCTAGAGTCTACTTAAGGTACAGAGCAGATTGTGCCCTACGGTCCACGCCCCTCCGAGACCTTCCCAGCCTCCTCTGTCTCACACTGGCTCCCGGACGCAGAGCCCTGGGCCCTGTCCCCGCATGTCCCACCCTGAGACTCTGGGTGCAGACGTCAGTCCCCAGTCTCCTCGCCCCTCTGTCTGAACAGGCCCCCTTTCTCCGAGCACCCAGGGTGACTGTCACGTGCCGCAGCCCTGATCGTCACTTCCTCTGTTCGGCCTTGGCAGGGATCCCCAGCCGGCACACGGGGTGAGCTCTGCACTGCTGAGAAAGTGAGGTTGAGCACTAGCAAACTGGGTCCATGACCAGGGTTATTTTGGAAACGCGGAGCTGTTTCTATGGCAGCACAGATGAAATGTGAGAAAAGAAATGATAGTGGCAGGTCTCGCATCGCCGTCAAGAGCTAGGTAGTGACAGCAGCAGGAGACGGCTGCCGTCCTGCGCTTGGAGTCGAGGTCGGGGTGGCGGCCGCTGTGGGGTCCAGGGCTGGACAGTCTTCAGGGCAGCGGTGGTGGTGGGTGGACCCCATCAGCTGCTGTCCTAACACTGGCCACTGCTGGGCCACCTGGGCCCTGTGTCCAGGTCCTCAGACACAGTTCTCCACACCGAAGAGGAGCTGAGCCGGAAGCAGATGTCCCTGGCTGTAGATGCCCCGAAAGTGGTGCCTGAGACGGCGCCGTGTCCCGGTTAAAGGCCAGTCTGTCTGCTGGCTGGCTTCTCCATCTCCCTCCTGTGCTCCTTCCTGGGTGTGAGGGCGTGGGTGGTGCTGGGACAGAAGACAGGGCATCTGTCCACCAAGAGGCCCCTCTGCCTGGTGCCCGGAGCAGTGCCCTTCTGCCCACCACGGGCTGCCCCACTCTGCTGGCCGCTGCTCCGCGGTGGAACCACCTGGTGACATGGTCACCGTCAGGCCACACGGGCTGGCCCCGGCTCCATGCACAGGGAATCCAGGGTCTCTGGGCTGCAGCGTGGGAGGGGTGCGGGCTGAGGAGGACTGGGCACAGGGCGGGGCCCCCTGCCAGGCCCTGGTGGGGGCACGGGTGCCACTGTCTCCTGTTTGAAGGACATGGTCTCAGATTTCGGGGTGCTGGGACACAGGACTTGCCTTCAGGTGCCCCGGGCTCTGGCAGTGGACTCCTGCGTGGGCCTCATCCCGTGCTCAGGAACCTCGCTGAGTGGGAGCCGGTTTCCCGGTCCAGGTGTCCACGGCCAGCACGTCATTTCTGGCACCGGTGCTCACTGTCCCCATAAAGCACAGCGCCGTGTTTTTTCTTCTGATTTAAGGGAGAGTCTTTGTCCCCAAGGAAAAGCCTGTGGAAACTCGGCAAGAAGAAAAAGTGACCCTGGACCCGGAGCTGGAGGAAGCTTTGGCCAGCGCCTCAGACACAGAGCTCTACGACCTGGCAGGTGAGCCCCAGCGCGCTCCATGCCCCCGTCACGGAGCAGTCAGGGCTCCACGGCTCTCGCAGGCTCCGCACCCCGTGAACAGGTTCCGTGGGGCCGCCCAGAGTAGGGGACGTCCTGTCCTCCTCTGGGGGGATGCAGGGTGGGACTGAAATTCCCAGGAAGTGCCTGGGAAAGGAGGGAGAGGAAAACGCCGATCATTTGGAAGATCTGAGTCCATGCAGCAAAACCAGGGAGATAATACAGACTGACACTGCCATGGGCATCCTGACTCCGCCTGCACCCTGCCAGGGGCTCCCGGGAACTCAGGAGCTCAGGAGGTGTAGATGGGAGAGAGTCCGGGCACCGCCAGTCACTTGGAAAGTGACAGGAGACCGGACAAGTGGTTGTCAAGGGTCCGCCTGGTCTCTATGGCAACACCTCCCAGGCTGGTCACCAGGGAGAGGTGGCTCACAGCCTGCTGGTCTAGAGATTTGATCCTGTGGGTATACCCGGCAGCATCTGCTTGGAGCGGGGTGGTGGGGTGGATCCGTTGGCTGGAGTCATGGGGAAAGCATCAAACAAAAATCAAAACTTGGGCTGGGTGTTCACCTGTCGTCCCAGCAACCAGAAGGCTGAGGCAGGAGGATAGCTTGAGCCCAGGAGCTCAGGGCCAGCCCAGGCAACACAGTGTAAGGAAAGTTGGTCATGGTTGCTCACACCTATGGTCCCAGTTGCTCAAGAGGCTGAAGCAGGGGGATTGTACGTTCAGCACAGCCTGCACAACTCAGCGAGATTCTGTAAGAAAAATAAGAAATCAAAAGGGCAGGGGGTGGCATTTCAGTGGTGGAGCAGCCCTGGATTCAGTCCTCAGTGCAAACCAACCCACTAACCTTGGCAGTACAGCCAAGTCACCCTGTGAGTAGAATTTGCTCAGAGACCGTGAGGCCAGCTATGTTATTGTGCATGCTCAGTGCCTGTGCTTATCAAAAGGGCACCTTTGCTGAGGGTGGTGGCGCACACATGTCTTCCTAGCTACTCAGGAGGCTGAGGCAGGAAAATCACCTAGCCTGGACAACTTAGCAAAACTGGAATAAAAAGGCAGTTTCATAGTCAGTCCAAGGCCAGCCTGAACTACATAGCTTGTCTCAAAAAAAAAAAAAAAAAAAAAAAAAAAAATAAGATGGGCTGAACACATTGCTCAGTGCCCCTGGGTTCAAGCCCTAGTACCAGAGAGAGGAGCAGGGGGAGACTTTCTCAATACACAGTGCCAGAGACATAGTGACAAATTCTTAGTCACTTAGCAAGGTGTAAAGCTCATTCAGGAGCGGCTGACACGCAGGAGGAGCTCGTTCACTCTCTGAATAGGTAAAGCGGGATTAGCATCCCCCTTTTATAAAGGAGGACCGAGGTCCCACAGGTGCGTGGTGACTTCCTAGGTGACATGATGGCTCATCAGGGTTCGGACTCTGGCTGCCTCTCTGGCCTGGCTGGTCCCAATTGGCCACTCCCCTTCCGGTTGGCCTGGAGCTCACAGCCTGGGTGGAGCCGATGGTCTCAGGGCTTCTCTGGTTCACATTGGAGACATCCCCAGTTAAGGGCCACCTGCCCCCGCCCCAACACACTGCCTGCATTGCACTGTGCTGCCCCCTGGTGCGAGCTCCAGGTATCACAAGACACTAGCATCCCCATGGGTCAGCCATCCCTGCTCTGTTCGCCCTCTGGAACGCTGAGGGTCGGGACAGGACAAAGCCTTTTAGTACTGAGAGACAGACGGGAGGTTTACGTGAAAAAGGACCACGGTTGTTCTGATTTTGCCTCTGAAAAGATTATGTGCAATCATCTATATGTTCAGTCTTAAAGCCTTTTGACTATGCCGGGCACACCCCTGTAATCCCAGCACTCGGGAGGCTGAGGCAGGAGGATCG